AAATAAAGTAATTATTTATTTTTAATGTCTCTTACAAACCTGACGTTGATAAAGTAAATATTTTAGCCTCAAGAAGCTACATATTTTGCAGCTGTTACAGCTGGTTTAACACAACATAAGAATTCTAAAAGTTACAAAGTTCTTCTCTTTTCTTATGCTCTACTGCATACAAGTAATAATACAGATCAAAATGAAATATTGTATATGTATCTATGGTCACATTAATAAATTAAGCATCTCAAGAAAAAAGACATGGTAGGGCTTAAGTTATAACTGTCGAAGCTATCAAATAGAGTATGAATACTAAAAGAAAAAAGGTCGATATATCACCCGTAGTACTTTAATAGATACTCACAGTGCATTTAAAGAATCTGACAGCAAAATGCATGTGTCAATTTTCTGCTGCTTACGCCTTCCTACAAAAATAATAAGATTTCTATCCATGACTTTTTTTGGTGCTTGCCTTAGAGCAATTAGCGTTATAGCTTTAAAAAAAGCTGGAATATTTTAAAGTATTTATGCTGCTGAGTCAGCTGAAAAACAACTTACTGAAAGTCAAAGAAAATTAAATCATAAATGTATGTGCCCCTCCAAAATGTATTTATCTTTAACCACAATGTTTGTTTTGTATTAAGTCTATTTACAGGCTTTTACTAGAAAAGGCTGAATAAAAAGAACAAATAATAGAAAATTTTAAATTAGAAAAAAACATACTGAAGCACTGATGACCATATTTTTGGGAAGCCTTTCTATTTCCAAGTAAGAGCTGAAAGGAGCAAAACTAAAATTACAACCAAAATTGTGACACGAGAATTTTATATATAATAAATAAATACTTAATAAAAGTCCTCTTCTAGTATGCATACGTACAGTATATGTGACTTGCGTCACGCTAAGGCTGTTACAAGAGAAAAAAAAATAGTAGCAAGAAGCTAAATTTTCACTGTCATGTGTTATAATAGTATAGGAAATGGTTTTTTGAACTCCAACTGCGCAATAGTCAAATATTTATAAAACTTTTACACATGGGTGCTAATATTGGAACCATGTAGTAGAAAAACTTACTTTCCTCGAAGGGGTCAAAAATACATCACCTAATGTGTATTGCTTTAGTCATTGACACTTCAAATTAGTTAAAATCCCTGAAATTGCAGTCCAAGCATCTTTTTTGACGAAAATTTATCTCATGAAAATTTTTTAGTCATACTTTAAGCGAGAGAAAACGAATCGTGTCACTTTTCGTCGAGATCATCGTTTTGTCGGTAGAACTCTATGAAGTACGACAGTGCAATGTTTGAGTAATAAAATTGTACTACTCAATGACAACTCATGAGCAAGCAGGCAGGGCACATGTCCTGGTGATTAAATGCTTTTATTGTGGAATATTTATAAATTTGAATAATAGAATTTGTTCCACAGTCACAACCTATCCAATTAACTCGTAGAAAGGAAGTCGATGGCACTTTTTGATCACTCACGTAAAATATTAAGATTTTGTGTTACTACCTAACGTTAGTTACAGCAAGAAACGTGCAGTTTTTGTGCCATCAAAAAGAAGCGTTTTATTCTTTTAAACCGTTTTTTTCCAAAATCACAAAAGTTGAGTTGATTGGTTTGTGCGGGACGCCACGGATATATAAATAAACATTCTGTTACAAAGGAAGCTTGGATATTTTCGTGTAGATGTGGAGCAGGTAATTCTGATTTGTTAAATAAATAAATTAAAGAGTCTGAAATATTGTAGTAAAATGCTCCACCAAAAAGATGGAGCAGGGGCTCGAGCTCATTAACTAAGGATTCGCGAAACTTTACGCTGACCGCTTAGCCATGACCACCATCAGGCGCGACTGTATTAATTGCACTGTGAGATGCACTTTATTGTGTCGTCAGTTGTACGCTAGTGTGCGAACACAAGGGTGCTGGCTTGACTGAATCAAGCCACGTCCAGGACGCCTCCCCAGTTAATGGGTCATCATCTCTGATAACACCTCTTGCTACGTCACCTGCTGGGATATTGTTTCTCTAACGTTGACAACTGTTTATTAGTATTTTCTCGCATATACCTTGGTCTTCCTCAATAGGCTATATCCTCGTAGCATCGTCGTACTGTCTTCTAACCTCAATATCGTTTCGTAAAAAAGTAGCTGCATTAGTGTACTAACTGACCAGGAGATGTAGTTTTTTTACCGATCACCGGGTAATAAAGATTTCTTCCGAGTTAGTGATGGATTATCTGGCGCACATCAAAGTCAATTTTTTGTGTGAATTACCCACTCAACTGCCTAAGGTAATATTCCAATCTACATCCCACCTTTTGACACCAAATACCGCTTGTTACGGAACAAGCTTCGGGAATTCTCGTGTAGATGTGGAGCAGGTTATTCCATTTTATTAAATATATGAGATATGTTTAAAAAATAACGAGAATTCTCGTTTTATGAAAGAAATATTTATTTATTCATCAATATATATTTTGTCCCCTTCAAAATAATCGGCCTCGCATATAATACACTTGTGCCAACGCTTTTCCCAATCCTCGAAACACTTTTGAAATTCGATCTTTGTAATAGCTTATAGCTCTTTCAGCAATTCGCTTTTAATGTCATCTATGATTGTAAAACGACGGCCTTTTAATGTTCTTTTTATTTTTTGAAATAGAAAAAAGTCACATGGAGCCATATCTGGCGAGTATGAAGGTTGAAGCATCGTTACAGTTTTGTTTTTGGCCAAAAATTTACGAACAAGCAATGAAGTGTGATCAGGTGCATTATCGTGGTGCAAAAGCCATGAATTGTTTTGCCACAAATCAGGGCGTTTTTTCCGGATTGCTCCATGCGTTGAACTTGTAGGTAGTACTCCTTTTTGATTGTTTGACATTGTGGCAAGAATTCATGATGCACTATGCTACTTTTTTCACGTTTTCATCGACTGTTGATGTGCTTGGGCGTCTGGGTCGCTCGTCATCTTCAATGTTTTTGCGGCCATCTTGGAAACACTTATACCACTCATGAGTCCTTGATTTACTCATAGCAGACTTACCATATGCCTTTGTTAACATTTGACGAACTTCACTACACTATATTTTATTTTTTACGCAAAATTGAATGCAAATTCTTTGATCCATTTTTTTCACAAACGAAAATTGATGAGCTCGAAAAACACGTCTAACGTTAACGGCTGCCACTTAAAAAGTAAGCAGTAAATATTGCTTTAAATTTTGTCGTACTTCAGAGGCATGTGTACCAACGTATTAGAAAAAGATTTTATACAGGTGGACTCTCCAAACCCACGAATTTTAAAAACTCTCGTTACTTTTTTAACTCATCTCGTATTTATTAAAGAGTTCGAAATATTGTAGTGAAGTGATTCGCCAAAAAGGCGGAGCAGGGGCTCAAACCCGTCAATTAAGGATTCGCAAGACTTTACGCTGACTGCTTAGCCATGACCGCCGCCTGATGAGACTGTGTGAATTGCACGTTTAGATGCACTCTATTGAATCGTTAGTTGTACGCTGGTGTGCCAACACACGGGTGCTGGTTTGACTGAATGAAGCCACGTCCATGACAAAACGACGTCTATACTTGACAATAAATGTATGAGGATATTTCAGAAAATCCTTTCTATTTCCAAGTAAGAGCTGAAAGGAGCAAAACTAAAATTACAACCAAATACAAAAGTGGCATTGTGACTATATTATTTAAATTGTTCTATTTAGGATTTATGATATAAGCTTCAAATATTTGTTAAAAATGTTTTTTCACTTCTAACAAAACTTTATGTGATTTGTATATTTTTTAAAAGTTTTTTGTATTTGTTCAAGCTTTGGGCACGATATAAGCCTTTTACGGCAAAATCATCTATACATTTACAAATAACATGGAAAAAAAAGTAAAAAATAAGAAATGAAAAATTATGAAAATTACGTCCAGTTCATAAAAGACTAAGTGTTTACTTAAAAATGTAGTGGGTACAAAATAAAAATATAATTTTATTTAGTTACTGAGGTTCGTATATAAGAATAAGTTAGTAAATTTAATATTGTTGTTGTGTTCGTGGTACATTGTTCTAGCCTGTGAACAGGTAAAAGCATTACCTCTGCAGGATTGCAATTGTAGTATGGTTTTTATTGTTTCTTTTTTGAAACTTTGAAAAAATAAATAAACAAATAAGTTTTAATTCATCAAAATAACGATTAAATTTATTATATTAACTTATTTTTTTAAATCTCTTGGTAATGGTTGGCAAACAAGTAGTTTTATAAAAGATTTTCATGGCTTGTATCTGCGGGACAGTGAGGATAAGATGAGCTACTTTTAAACAGCAGTAGAATAGCTTAACGTTTTTTGATTCAGAGTCTCTTCAAAGAGTTTTTAAAAACCATTGATTTTATAAATTTATTCATAAGGTCATTATATGTAGACAGATAATGTCTTACTAATGTAGTAGTAAATAAATAGATTATTGCGCACTGAAATTTTTCGACTGAGCTAGATTGCTTATTTCAATTATTCGCTGTGAATCAAACTAGTTTAATTTTATCTTTGTATGCAGCACTTTATATACGTTAAAAAGTACAAGCATTTTAGTGTTACATTACTAATTTTTTTTAATTTTATTATTTTAGTGTTGATATCACTTCCTTGTGTTATTGTGCACGGTTATAAAATCAGATCCAGTTACAGCACCCCTAATAGGTATTTCCCGTACGGTTTTCATATTAAAGCCCGCATCTAATTACTGCGTGCTAATTACTGTGAATTACTACGACATTTTGTAGGTTGGATTTGTTTAAAGTCACTTAATTAGGTACGCAATTACGTATTTTATGATATTAAACATGTTTCTTGATTAAACGATTAAAAGTATGCTTGACTAAAGGAATTAAATTTTTCCATGCATGTGTTATTGTAATACCTAATTTAATAAAGTCAAATTTGTTAGTCATATTAACTATATTATATTACTTTATCACTTTTAAATAAGTACTTTCAAAATGTTACCTGTTATAGAATTGAACGTTGACGTTTTTAGTTTCCTATTATCACTTTTCATGTTTAAAGGAGCAACGTTGTGTCTGGCTCTAATCATTTTCAACTCTGAAAGCTGGTCTTCACATTTTTTATCACTGAAAAAATTAATTATATTGTTTACCATTAACATTTTTTAAAAGAGTTGCAAGAAGAAAATTTTTCAAACATCACTTAGATATAATCTGTCCATTAATATAAATAAAGACGATTATGTTGTGTGAGAAGTCATGTCATCAAAGGTATTTGCACTATGTGCATCGATGTGAATAAAACAAACCACTATCACAACACAACGTTACTACCTGAAGGTTCTTTGTACTACTTTATTTGTTACTGTAATATGTTTTAAGGGGGATCAAAGCATGTTAGGAGCAGTTATCTTGTCTGTCGAGTAGCAGCTACTTGATGCTTTGAGGAAAAACATATGAAATGGACAGTCATAAGAAATTTTAACTTTTGAGGTGAAACACTTTTTCTGCACCGTAATTTGTAATCAATTCCTTAAATATTGCAATTAATACAAGAACTTTTAGTTGCATTACTGTTTTTCGTACAGAAAAATAAAATACATGATTTCTGCTATTTTAAGAATTTTTTATTAAAAGAGTCGATAACATTCAGTGCTGTATAAAACTTCTTTAAGCAGATTTTATTCGTAGAGCAGTAATAAAAAAATACGATAAATCTTGTTAAATAAAGTAATTATTTATTTTTAATGTCTCTTACAAACCTGACGTTGATAAAGTAAATATTTTAGCCTCAAGAAGCTACATATTTTGCAGCTGTTACAGCTGGTTTAACACAACATAAGAATTCTAAAAGTTACAAAGTTCTTCTCTTTTCTTATGCTCTACTGCATACAAGTAATAATACAGATCAAAATGAAATATTGTATATGTATCTATGGTCACATTAATAAATTAAGCATCTCAAGAAAAAAGACATGGTAGGGCTTAAGTTATAACTGTCGAAGCTATCAAATAGAGTATGAATACTAAAAGAAAAAAGGTCGATATATCACCCGTAGTACTTTAATAGATACTCACAGTGCATTTAAAGAATCTGACAGCAAAATGCATGTGTCAATTTTCTGCTGCTTACGCCTTCCTACAAAAATAATAAGATTTCTATCCATGACTTTTTTTGGTGCTTGCCTTAGAGCAATTAGCGTTATAGCTTTAAAAAAAGCTGGAATATTTTAAAGTATTTATGCTGCTGAGTCAGCTGAAAAACAACTTACTGAAAGTCAAAGAAAATTAAATCATAAATGTATGTGCCCCTCCAAAATGTATTTATCTTTAACCACAATGTTTGTTTTGTATTAAGTCTATTTACAGGCTTTTACTAGAAAAGGCTGAATAAAAAGAACAAATAATAGAAAATTTTAAATTAGAAAAAAACATACTGAAGCACTGATGACCATAAATTTAGGAAGACTGTTACTATTTGTGATTCAAATTTTTAAAAAAATAGAGGATACTATTTTTAAAGAGAGAGACCTTTTAGTTATACTTAGATAATCACGAAAAGAGCAATAACACTTAGCTTCTGAGATTTTTGTTTTAGGAGCACAGTTTTTTTGAACTTTTGGATTATCGCTAAAACACAACTATGTTTTTGGCTAAGTAGAAGTTTTAACATGCAACTTAGTTTAAAATATTAAGTGAATTTGGAATGGATTTCATGTTGTCAAAAAACTTGTTGTATTACCGAAACGTAGTAATGAGATAAAAATATGTTGTTTTTTTTTTGTTGAGGAATTGAAACTTTGCAACAAATGTCATGATATTAAACTGAGCAAGAAACTGCTTCCAACTGTTATCATAAGCAGTTAGACCATCAAATTTAAACAAAATATTCTATAAGCTCATTTTTTGTTAAACTAATAAATAAAGACAGGCAGTATTCAACACATTTTTCTTTAGCTGCTCATATGCAATTTGAGGAATTACCCCACAACTCTGTTTTCTCCAGATTACTCACCCCATCTTCATTTTTTTTTTTTGTAAAAACAGAATGAAAGTGATTTTATGTAAAAAAGGAAAAAAGGTGGACGAATAATCATGATAATAAAAATTGCATCCCTTATGTTTTTCAAGAATTAAAAATTTTTATCCGTTAGCAAAATTCTAGTGGTAAGAAATAATGAAAAAATTTAAAAATTATAAAAAAAAAATGTTTTTACATTAAACAAAAAAGATTAAAAAAAAGTATTTTAGAATTTTTTTAAATTTCCTTCTCTTTCTTTGTAAAATAACTGCTTCTCTTACAGAACTACCGTTATGATTTTTTTTAACCTAAAAAAATTCACATAAGCTTATAAATAAGGATTTTAATGGTCACTGATTGCAAGTCTACGATGATATTTCTCAAATTAAAAATAACTCAACTAATGCAGCAAGAAGAAAAAAAAACATTCTATTTAATTTTATGAAAAAACATAGAATCTTGCCAAAAGATTATATAAACTGACAATAACCACTTTTATCAACATATTTATTTATTGTGAATTTAGGACTCGTGGAATATCTGAGGACAAATACAATAAGTAAGTCTTATGGTAGTGTAAAAAGAATGAAAAAAGAATTAATGCAGAACTTTTTATTAAATCAAAAATTCATTTGTATCGTCTTTTTAACTGTAAAAGTCGTACTTACATGAATACATAAATTTACTGCAATGCATTGACATACATGTATACATAAATTTAACGACCTACTTACAAGTTACAACATATGTATCCTGTTTTTTACTACTACGAAATATAATTTTTACAATAACGGTACTGGAAAAACGAATAATTATTCATGCTTTTTTTTATACTTACTAAAAATGAGGATAATAACTTTATTATCACAATGACACGAAGGCTCTTTTCTTATTTCAAAGCAAAACTGTACAGGGTTATTGAATGTAGGAGACCTATCAATGTAGCCACGCCGGACCGAGAATACCTAATAGTATTCTGGTACCTTAAAGAAGATAAATATATATGTACCAGCGGTTGCATTTTCATGGTACAATTTTGTTGTATGAATTAATTTTAATGAAGTGAAACAATGATATCAGATAACTTTCTACCAAAATTCTTTAATAAGCGGAAGCCATACACATTTTTTAGCTAAGTTTTAGATGTAGTTTCCAGTAGTATCATCATTAGTTTTCAACTTATTTGGGTTGGCACAACTTTTTGTGCGGTATATTGAATTGGGCACTTTGGAAATCTAAAAGTATGACAGCTAAGTTTCCAGAGATTTAAAAAAATACTTATTCCATCCCAGCCTGCAAGATTCATTAGCAAACTTTTTAAATTTAAAGGTTCATATCAATTCATATTCTGATTGAAATAATGTTTGTTCAACTAGAGGCTTAAAATTCCTACTGCTTATTTAAGACTAAAAATAAAGGTAAAAGCACACTACCCTCTACTGACATAATAGGTTAAGTAGTGTAGCTGTGTGTTAGCGTAGACAGTGATTGAGTTGTACTTTAAATTTATTTTAGTCCACTATAATTTAGTGTCCTACTGTTGAGAATCTCTGAAATAAATTCACTTTGATCCAAATCATAAGCGCCACTTCGACTGTATCTTGTAACAAATAGTTTGATCCCTTCTCTAAATGTTTTTTGTTTGCCCTCAATTTTGTTAGCATTTTGTAAGGAAGCTCTTGCGACAAATTTATTTATTTTTTGAGGTACAATGTTGTATTTTTTTTTTTTAAATTCCCAGATCCACTGATTTGATGATTTCATATTCTTTTTAGTATTGTTCTGCAAAGTCTGTTATTTTATATAAAGTCATGCACTGTTATTTTGGATTTTATCTCTTTATTTAAATTATCCAAAACATATTCTGATATGTTCAATAACTTACCATATCTACTACTTCCCGCTTTTACTTGCTCTTTCCATCGCCATGATTGTGTCTTTCTAGTGACTTGTCACAATCTTATTCTGGACACAGTATTTTCTTTAAAAAATTAAAAAAGGAAATGCTTCAATACAAAAATATTAAATAATTTAATTATAAAAAGTCTGCATTTACATTGATTATGTACTTGTAAATGCATTAAACGAATTGAATCTATACACTAATATTATGTGATGCAAGTAGAGTTTTAAACTAATCTTTGCGTTTCATGAAATATTTATTTTCATTTTTCTTACTACGAAAATCAAATTTCTATAAACATACCAACACAGTGGTTAACTATTGCAGTAATACTTCTAAAGTTAAACAAAACAATATCATTAATCAATCGTGGTTTCTAATACTAGAAGGGTGGAAACCACAATTAATTTATTAAGTGGTATTTATAAAAAAGTGCAAAAACAATACCACCATGGTTAACTACCATATTAGTATCGACTATTTTTAGTTATCTGAAGTCTTAGAAAGTTGTTGTTAGTTTGTCAAGTACAATTAATCAGTCAAAAACAGCCAATTTAAACAAAACTTTTTGCTATGACACTTTGTCTGGACCAAATGTTGAACATTTAAAAATTTTTTTTTTGCTTTACATTAAAATCGTAGCATTGGTATAAATGCGTTACATCGGTACATATTTGATAAATATGAATGGAGAGCTCATAAATAATATGCAGACAAAGAAGGTAATAGGAAGCTCGTTGTCAAACTGTGCAAACTGCTAACTAAATTATTTAAATACCAGGATAAAAAATTCTTACTATTATGTTGTAAGTGGAATACACTTGTACATCACAGAACTTGCTCATTAATAACATAGTGATGAGTAATGAACGGCATTACACGAGAAACATGACAAGATAATATTTTAGCAAAACCCAACAGAATAAATAGCTATCACTGCAAGTAAGTTCTAATAAAAAAAAGAAATAATAGTGCTACGGCAATACGAAGCATTTATTATAAGAAAAATAAAAACAAATATTTCGATAATGTTCGGGTGGTAAGTATAAAAAACAAAAACTTTTTTGCCATCAATTATTCCAAAAAAAAAAATCTGGTGTACGATGTAAAAAAATTTTCACATATACCAAGCAACGAATTTTTTGCGTTCATCAGAGATGTATGATACTACTGTCACGTACAGTATGAAACATACTACGTGGGGTGGACCTCAGCTATTAGTATTAGGAAGGAGCACAAGTGGGGGAAGAGAGAGCATAAAAAGGCTCGCAGCAGTGGCCACAGGGCTCTTGAACGTCGGGACTAGAAGGAGGATAGTCGCAATAAGTAACTCGGGACCGCAAAACGCCTTTCCTCAAGGAATATAGCAATAAAGAGATTGATTGAATTTAACTACCGCTTTGTTATTAAGCACCCCGAACCTTTAGAATCCTACGTAACACTACTATACGAACTACGATTTCCATAACTACAAGTACAGTATGTAAAAACTAACTAAAACTTCTAATTAATTTTTTTATAAATTATTTGCTTCTCCAAAGTTTAAAATGTTTATAAGTTATTGAATTATTTAAGAAATGTACTTTTTTTTAATGTACGTTTAAAGCTTAAAACTAGTATTCTGAGTACTTGCCGATAACCCCAATTGTTCTTACTAAGTATACAATTATTAAATCATTTAAAGACTAATAGTAGTAATGATAAAAATAACAATATCATAATAATAATATTAATACGCTTTTTTCGATGGATGAAATATAATGTAGATTTATTTATTATAAAATATATTATTCTAGAGAAAGTATAAGTAAATTAATGATTTGATAATAAGATCGGTAGATTTTTCTCTTTTTTACACTACTTTAAGTATTACAAACGTTAATTGTCCTCAGATATTTCACAAATCCTAAATTAACAATAAATATACTCCGTCGATAAAAGCTTTTAGTGTCCAAGTTGTACTTAACATGTCTCTGCAATATATGTACCCTGTAAAAAAATTTGTATTTAATTGGAGTAAATTACAAAAAAAAAAAAAAAAAAACTACGTTTTGTCATAAAACAAAATAAAATATTTTTTTAGATCTTTTTTCTATATAGACTTAGTGATCGTAAAAATTTTTAAACATAATAGCAGATTCGTAATCAGTGACCGTTAAAACCCCTACACATAGGTTTGAGAAAATTCTTTTAAAGCAAAAAAAAATGTTTACGTTGGTTCTGAAAAAAAGGTGATTAATTTACTCTACGGGTCGTATAATAAAAAATTTAGAGACACTGTTACTTTATCCCTTTGTTTCAGGTATTAACAACCCTTTTTTTTTATAATTTCAAAAATTCCTTACATATTTTAATCACAAAAATGTTGCTAACAAATATGGATTTCAAACCCTTCAAAATAGAGGATATAACTCTTCCTATCTTAATCATTATGGTTTGACCACCTTTTTTCAATGACACAACTTTTATTTTCTTTTAACAAAAAGTAGTACGAAGGTGATGGCAAGTTATGTGAAGAAGTTAGTGTTCAGGTGTGATCTTTGAGGCTGGTTTGGATCCCTGTAAACTGTATATAGTCAGCCGAAGAGATAAGTGTAGAATTTTTTTCCAATACTCTACTCATATGCCAAGTTTCAGGAAAATCAGTGACATACACTTGCCTGCCTTCATTTGTCACTGAGTTCTAAGCAACAACCCCACTTTTATTCCAGAACTTTTTATTGCTTTTCTAAAGGTAACCGCATTAACAGTGTATTTAATATAACGTGTAGAGCTCGTTCTAAGGATTAAGTTTTACGTCATACTTGATCCATTTATTGCGTACTATCCGATTCTTGAACTTTAGTTGTACGCATTGTTATGACTGGGCTTGTTAAGAGGATGGTCTTAACTGATTTATTTTAGGGTGATTTAAAGGTCTCTTAGGGCTTAGCTCGTAAACTTCATTTTTTACTTTTAGTAACGTAAAAATCTTTCTACTAAATAATTTAAATAATTTTAATAATTGTATTCTTGTATTGAAACACTTGAAAATAATTATTTTTTTAAATTCAGGTTACTCAGATCAATAAAGCAAAGTTGAGAAATACTTATCCT